AGAAAATGCAAACAAAATACAAACCTTTTAACATTTACCGGAAAGACTGAAAAACATTTGTTTAAGTAGGTCTACAGCTTTAAATCTCTAATATAAGTTTCTTATCAAACTCTATTCTCGCGTAATGTGAGTTTATGTCGAATTAGTTGCATGAAATTCTGCATTGTTATAACTCAAAGTTGGTCAATTTAAATACTTTGTAAAACTTTTCACTTGTTTCCTTCTTATTTTAGGGTTTCAAAGGCAGGCTTCGTTAACGTTTCACGATGATTACAGTGAAGGCTGCATTAAATGATTAAGTTTCGATATTCAATTCGGGTATGTAAAAGTGTATTCAAGTGCATTTAACTTTTAGATTCATTTTCAGATTAACTGTCTGTAGTATTAGAACTTTGTTCATAAATGTGAAGCTTATCCAACAATTACTTTGGTGTTTAGTGGACGAATTTTCCGAGTTTGTGCATACACTGAAATCAACTATTTTTTGCTCTGTATTACCTTTATTTCTTATGCAATCATAATGTAGAGGTTTAAATTTTTTAAAGAACATGTAGAAGTTTGAATTATTAAAGGAATAGCAAACATTCATATGATGCATGTCGCGCTAAGTGACTTTGTAAATTATTTTAAAATTTGTTTAAAAAATGTAAGGGGAAAAAACGTTTAGTCGCAAGGTTACAAGGTCCTTGCTTCGAGCTTTTCCTAAGGCGACCAACGATTTCCGAGAAACATAGGCTTTAGTTACCAGACAAACACGAGTGAAGTCTCGAAAGTCAATTGATCGCCATAGCACCAACGGTTTCGATTTCTGCAATTTATTAAATGTTTCGCCGGCCTATTGTCTAATATTAGAATGGGTAAGCGGCTGCAACGATGACCAAAAGGATTTAATAATGGTGACTGTATTGGTGATGTTGCACACGAATTCTGTAGTCTCAATTTCACTACTATGACTGGGGGAATGGTTTACAGAGTAGGTGAAAATGTTGTTGCTGGTGAACATGGGGATGTTTTAAACATCACTCAGATTTTTACAACAGCTATAAATGGTGAGCATCTCATATTTGTTGTAGGAGATCTTTCCCAACCAGTGATGCATGGTTCTGACAGCGTAATTGACCAGTGGAGTAAGGGAACACTACTTTCACCATCTGGCATAGAAAGAATTTTTCCCTCATGAAGCATCCAGCGGAAAGTTATGGTTTTTCCAGACCCAGACAACCTTTCTGATCCAAGCAAGTACATTCTAGTTGACTTCCAAAGGTTAGAGTTTCCTTTGACAAGTGTTGTTTTCCCTTGGTATCCAGAAGTTGGTGATATGTTACTTATCAAAGGCGATGATCCAGAACCATGGCGGGGTTTAGTTCTGGCAGTGCACATGAGGAACAAAACTGTGCGACTGCAGTTCTTCGTACCACATCCTCGGTAGGGAAGACAGTCTGGCGTCTGGGTGCGTGAAGGTACACGACCTCAAGAAGTGCACTTAAAGAGCAAGCTTGGAAGTTGTATAGGACATTGGCAGGGAAACAACAGCATCTTAAAAGAACTGCAGACTTGGATGCTACTGACATTAGAAAAAAAAATTCCATTTGGAGAATGGTTCATGTGAGTTTATTAGACGCAATAATTACATTTGTTTAAGAATAATCTGTTTACATGTATGCACCAGTTACCATGATACAACATTAACTACTGGAAAATATTGTTGTGTACTGCAGGTGGCAAAATTTCCATTTTAACCTCATGTTGTTCCCAACATTTGGGATTTGATAAAATTCCCACTTAATTTCCAACGTTGGTTCTTTGTTTTCCACTCAATGCCCAATACTGGGTTTTTACTTTGGGAATTCTTTATCATCCTTCCAGACTTAGAACATCTTTTTATGTTAATTACCATTGAACTCCCAAGTTTTCTACTTTAGTACCCAAAACAGGGATTTTACTTTGGTAATTTATTTTGCTTTCCCAGTAGTTTCCAATTTTGGAAATTGCCTTTTTTTCTGGTGATAAAAACCCAACAAACTCTCAAGGTTGGGCCTTTCAAACTCGATTAATTGCCAAACATATATTTTCATCATTGAATTTTTGTGTTTTTCCCATGTAATATCCCAAATTGGGTTTTGAGAATGGGAATTTATCAGAAAATCCCAACTTGGGAATCTGGTATTTTTTCCTGTGAATAGACCTTTTCTCAGACCATAATCGGTCTCAAACATTAGCACTTAAAATGCGAGAAACACATGTGCCGATGGAGAGCGTGTGAGAGCGTTTGGTAAGAGCTGTTGAAGAAGGATCAAAGCGGCCATCCAAATCTTTGAAGGGCTCCAAACTAGGGCGTACATTAAATTTGGCCTTCTCGAAAACTGGTCTCAAATTACATACTAAAAAACAGTGATTGCGTTTGTCCTTGAGAACCATAGAATACGCGACAAATACGTACAAAAAATACTTTTACACATTCAGAATAAATCAAAGTACATTTATCTACGGTGAAAGGAAGACGGAACGGCCTAACTTTTACGGAATGTTCAGTCAAAGTTTGCCGATTTCTGCTGCTTTCACCGCCATATTGAAAATGAAGCTACCACAATGCAATCGCACACCGCCTGTACGCTAACATAAATGTTATTTTCTTAAATTAAAATAAAAAATATCTAAAAAATACTCCCCACAATTTGAATGCCCCTTGTAGAACCTTTTCCTCCAAAAATTATATCAATTCTCGATCGATCGATCCTTTTCGGCAGCCATCTTTGTTTACAGGTTTCCGACAGCCAATCAGACAAATTTCCCATTATTGGCCCTGTAGTATTGGGAAGAAAGCTATCTTAAGGAAGCCATGTTTTGTTATTCAACAACCTGAGCCAATGGAAACAGTTCTACTTTTTTTAATTTTGGCCATGACATTCCGTCGCTGTAGGTCATGCAGGGAAAGTCCCATTCGACTGAGATGGAAAACCAGGCGCCACATTATCGATGAGCATTTCTGTCGTGAAAATGTTGATACGTGCTCCACCTTTTATCGAGACATTTCTTTCCGGATGGTATTTGAAAGATTTAAAGCCCGATTTAGGGAAGGCACTCTGGAGAAAGAAGATCCTCGTTCATCCAGAAATTTGGTGTACTTTTGCCTGTTCGATCGTGTTGTAGGCTCCTCCCCGTCGCCAGATGGACGAAAACGACTGAGAAGTCGTCATGTGAGGGTGCCATGCGTCCGTTCAACATGTCGCAACTGTTCTCATCCTGTGATAGTGATAAAAACATTTTTTCCGGATGGACAGCGCAGACCGATTTATTAAAGAACCAAACTTATGAAGCGAAAACCCAAGGTTCTGAAATGAAGAACATGCTGTTGTTCTATATAGTTGTCACGAAGTAGAAAAGCCAGCCAAAATAAAACTAGCACGAGTCAGCTACTTTCCCTTAGAAGTCGAATACGTGTAATTTTTGATTACAAGAGATAAATTAAATCGATTATACATGCATTGGTCTTCTTCAGCTGAATTTGATGTTCCTTTAAGATGTTACTCAGCAATGCGGGAGAAACTATCCATGAAACAAATGTAGGAATCATCCACTACATAATAGTTCAGCAAAATGCTACGAAAACCATTTAAAACTGAACAGTTTTTGAATACGTTCTGCTCACACTGTTTGTCAGATGCAATATAGTTTGATCATTAACTTTACTAATAGCTTCTCAAAATATATGTTTCCTCCTCTCCTTTTTTCCAAATTAAGCTCTCTTAGTAGACATTCTGGAAATAAAGAGGCAAATCATATTCTGCAAGTTGACCAGTCTTTTTACGCAAGCTTATCCTATGAGTATAATCATACTAAAACTTTCGGGAACGAAAAGTAGGATAAGTTTCTAAGTGAATCAGAGTACCGTAGTAGAAGAAAAGGTTCATGCGTTGATAGAGCTCAGTTAGTGGGTGAACACCCTGTGGCTGGAGGGTAGTTGAAAGTCCAAAGCAGTAGGCTGAGGAGGGGCTAAAAAATCTTGATGGCTAGAGTTAGGAGCATACCCCGCCATTAGCCAGACTTGCTGATAAAAATGCTGAGGACTTAATTAACGTCAAGAGTAGTACCCAGCATGCAGCCCAGCCACTAACCTATCCAAGGGTGGGTTGCAAATGGCTTTGTAAGGAAAATCCAGGGGTGGGGAGGGCATGTTATTAGACCCCTTGTCTAACTGGCAGTTTTCTATGAGGCTGGAAGAGGCTTGCCTTATTCATCTTATTTGACTGCTTACATTACAGGATTGGTGGTTATGCTTGTACCCTTTTCACACCACAGCCACTGGGCTAACACTCCATGGCTGGATGGTGGTTGAGTGTTAAAAGCATGCCTTTGGGGGAGAGGCCTCTATTGACATTGTAAAAACCTGATGTCTAGGTTTTCTCTTGAGGGTGGTTATCGCCATAGTGGCCCTGCTTACGCCTTCAATGGAAAGTCTTTGATTAATGCATCACTAAAGGGGGATAATTCTATTACTGTAAGCAGAATAATTGCTATTGGTCAGCTGGTTGAGACAAATTGATAAAAATAGCCTTTTAAGATTGGTCTGATGAAGGTAGAAATTCTCTCAACAAAGCATAAGGATGGAGTATGCATTCAAGTAAGGAGAAAGTGGAAGAAATTTCTTGGGCGTTTCAACACAACGAAATCTTCTGAAACACAACAATATTTTCCAGAACACAACGAAATCTTCTGAAACACAACAATTTTTTCCAGAACAACAAAATTTACTTATACACAAAAGCAAGCTAAAACACACCAAAATCAAAATTTCAAAGTACTGGTGACTAAACCTGTCACTGAAAGCGACCGGAACCTGGGACTAGCTCTGTCCTGTTAATTAAGGCGCCATTTTTGTAACTATGCAACGTACATTTCGACAAGATGTAGAAGCGCAAAAGTATGGTTCATCCCCGGCGAACCAAATGATTGAAAGCTAGAGGGCATTTTACAGAAGAAACAGGTCTGTTTGGTGGATTTATTTCTTTAAAAGCCTTATGGAATAGGAAATCTTTAACCCAGGAGATGAGATTCAAATGGCATGCCTCGGGTTCTCTTTCGCTCAATTACTTCAAGATGAACTGGATAAAGTTAAACAACACTGGTACACACATTTAATAAGGGGCTGTAGCCGTGACACTATCAGTGGAAGACCGGATGAACCATTCTTTCTCCCAGAGCTTCATAGAAAGTAGATGGTCTACTTCACCCAATCCTGGATAATGAGATCTAATCCATGAGGGAGAACCTGACCCACGAAGAGGAGAAAAGTATCTACCAAGAGTACTTTGAATATTTAATTGAAAACACTGAGTTGCAGCTGCCCCACAATTGAAGAGGGACTCTTTCTGTTTAAAAGAACTCCTTGAAATTGCTAACGTATGATGTTTGACGAACAAGAACGAGCTGTGCGATATCGGTGGGGGTAGGTTCGTACATTAAGTGTTCCCTTTGATATAGGCCAATTACACCTATGACCATATAGCCATGACTGATTTATGCTTTTTATTTTCCATTTCACTACTGTACAAGTAAAACTAAAGAAAAAGGTTGGCATCAAACTCAACTTTAAAATCTTTTAATATAATTATCCATCACAAGTAGTTACCAGTACATCTCACAAAGCAGTTATCTTTTGACAAGTGTTATTTCCTTGAAGTGCTTATAGGAACAAGAATGTGATCAGTAGATTTCAACTGGACGATATCTAGATTCAAGTAAATGAACAACTTGGAAATTTGCTTTCTTTCTTTGATCATACTGAAGCAATGATATCTACTGATGACATCAGAACCAAAACAATACCAACACGTACAGGGGCTTACTACTTAGTAATACATTACTTCATAACTTATGGCAAAAAATCTGCTATCTATTAAAAATGCAACAGTAGCAGTCAATTTTTTATAGTCCTCCCTTTCTTTAGCAAATAGAGAAGAATTCTATTTCTGTTGTAAAGCATGTTGGAAGCTGTTAGAGCATGAAGAAAGTGGTAGAGTTCTCAAGCCACTTCTTAAGTGCTTTACAACAGAACAGAGCACTGTCAAGGCTTCTCTATTTGTTTTATAATAAAGAATCTGTTAAATAATGCATTAATCTCAATTTTCAAAAGAAACTTAAGGCAATAAATTATGACTGGTCTTAATGGGGACATAGTTTTTTTTACATTTTTGATACTAAATTTGTCTTCCCTCTAATTTTGCCCACTCCTGTCTGTTTTACATGCCTTTTTTGAGTCAGTTTTTTTTTGTTTTAGAGGAGATCACATTAAGCCATCCTAGATATAATGCAGTAGGTCAAAATGCTTTCCTAGTCTTAATACAGTAAAGATATTGTAGCACTTTATATGGCACTTTTTATAAACAAGGATGTCCTCTGAGATTTTCTTAAGCTCACAGCTCAGCCTTTTGTGACTTTGATATGAGAATAACTCTTAAATGTAGTGCACATTTTGATTGAGTATTTAAAGTAATCACAAAAAACAGTCACAATGACTAAATAATAACTCTAAATCAAGACACAAACAAAGCCTACTTTTCAAAGAGTAGGAAGACTTGAGTGATTAACCTTCTGCACCCTAACATCACAATGTACATTCTCCATAATATTCTATTCATACAAGAATAATTTGTTCAGCAATCAAGAGCTTCTTAAGTTGGAGATTATTTTCTTTATTCTCATGATATTCCTGTTTGATTCAGGGTTAATAATGTAGGGAGAAATCAGATGCTGGTCAGCTCTCAGTGATTGAAGGGTTAAGTCATGATTGGGTTAAGTATAACATCTGACCAGGTGAGAGATTGATGTGAGTTTGTTGGACCACTCATACAGCAAAGTGAAGCATTACCAATGCAGTGGATGCTAAGTTGAAAATTTCCTTATCTTGTAGGACACCTTCAGTTAAAGGCGTGGTCTTTCAGGTCTTCAGAGTCTCCCAAAAATGGAGTCACAGGTTTGGATCACTTGGAGACTGTGTTACCAACCTACTGGAGCACATCCTTTGCAGTTCCCCTTATTCCAGAATCGGATATGGCAGAGGAGGATCAGGATATGAAAATGCATGAGGAAAAAGAGCTTTGTAGAGGGTAGACAATGGAGACAAAAATATCAAGGTATTTGGATACATTTTCCTTTATTTAAGACACTGAACTGCTCTGCTCCAAGAAAAAGCTGCATGCAACATGGAGTAATTATCATGCTCTAATTTCAGGTGGAATTTTAAACCTTTAACTCCCAGGATCCAATTGTCAATTCTCCCCTCTAGCTGCTACACATTTTTTGTAAGCTAGTTATAAGGATTTGATGGTAGATCAAGATAACAACTTCTACCTGATAAGTTTGGGTATTCTCATTAACTTTTTACTGGATAATGACTGGATATTATAGGGAGAAGTTACTTGTTAATCACTTGTGGGAGTTATAGGGTTAAATATGGGTTTTTGCTTTTGCTGTTAAATTAAGGGAAAGTAAAAGTGGGTCAGTGAATTAAGACAGGTTTCTCTTTGTATTGTAGTTACATGAAGGAAAATCTGCCATTCTTGGGAGATTTATCACTTTTACTCTCACAAGTGGCCATTAAGTTACTTTTCCTTTAACCCTTTAACTCCCAGAAGTGATGAACATGTAACTTCTCCCTATAATATCCATAAATTGTCCAACAATCAGGTAATGAGAATACTCAAACTTATCTGATAGAAGTTGTTATCTTGATCTAGCATCAAATCCTCATAACTAACTTACAAAGAAATGTGTGGCAGCTAGAGTGAAGAATTGATGATTAGATCTTGAGAGTTAATGGGTTAACATTTCATCCACAGACTGTATGGTAGTTGACAATTTTGAATTTAATCAAGTTTTAAAGTGAGGGCTAGACACAAACTCTTAGATTACAGGAAATAAATAGCAGACCATGACAATAAGTGACCAGTTAAAATTTTATTGCCAAGAGGGGGGGCTGAGATGATTTTTGGGGGGATCACATGGTTTTCAGGTGAACTGTGAGGGGATCTGTCATTCACAAACAGACTATAGAGGCATTGTAGAAAATTGAGTGTTTTTTCTTTTGTATTTTTCCCGTTCACCCCCATTCCCTTCTTTAGAACCTCACCACACAAGCCACATTTACCTGATAGGGGTCAATCATTGAAATTCAAGTAGTAGAATGTAGGAAAAAATGCATGTACAATGTTGCCTGATATTCCATTTGAATAAGCTTAGTTGTCCTGCAGCTGTATCCTGAAATTCCACTTGAATAAGCCTAGTTGTCCTTAGTTGAGATGACTTGATACGCATTATTGTGAGTACAATTCAAGAACAAATTTTGTCAAGGATGGAAACACACCTCCAAGGGCTTCTTTATTTCAACAGTTACAAACATTACTTAAGACATCATTTTCATAAAAAGTTCTCAATCTAATCCAGTGCTGCAGCTCCTGAGATGATCTCAATCAATTCCCTTGTAATCACAGCTTGGCGAGTTTGATTGTATGTCAGAGTCAACTTGTCAATCATTTCACCTTTAAGTTCAGATCTTGCACCAAGATCTCATTAGTAATTCTCCTCACTGTCTACCATACAGTTCTTGTGATGTTAGTTTTGAGAATTTGGTATTGGATCAACGACTAATCCTCTAACTGATATATTTCTTTATTTTTGTCACTTATCTGCTTGATATTGTATTGATATCGCAAGGAGAAATTCTGTCTTGGTCACTTATGGGAGTGAAAGGGTTAAGAGAGATGGAAAGAGTAAACTTTAATGAGGGTAAAATTCTTTTGTACACCATTTTGGGGTTGAAATACTCATTCTCTGACCAAATCACATGAACAAGGGTTGATAATGTAGGGAGAAATTAGATGCTAGTCAGCTCTTAGTGGTTTAAGGGTTAAATCATGATTGGGTTAAGTATCGCATCTGACCAGGTGAGAGATTAGTGCAAGTTTGCTGGACCACTCATAGAACAAAGTGAAGTAATACCAATGTAATGGATGCTAAGTTGAAAAATTTTCTTATCTCGCAGGAAACCTTCAGTTACCTTCAGGTCTTCAGTCTCTCAAAAATGGAGTCACCAGATTGGATCACTTGGAGACCCTGTTTCCAACCTACTGAAGCACTTCCTTCACCAAGATATGCCATGGCATGAAGGTTGATGGGGTAACCAGGTTCTTGCAATGGGTGTCAATGGCAATGAACAATATGATTGCAGTTCCCATGATTCCAGAATCAGATCTGGTGAAGGAGGATCAAGATATGAAAACACGTGTGGAAACAGAGCTTTGTGGAGTGCAGACAACAGAGACAAAAATATCAAGGAATTTGGATACATCTTCATTCAATAAAGACACTGAACCACTCTACTCAAGGAAAACGCTGCATGCGACATAAAGCAATGATTATGCTTTAATTTCAGTATTGGGGATTTTAAAATGTGAGTTTTTGCTTTAGCTATTAAATGAAAGGAAAATAAAAGTGGGTTAGTGAATCAAAATCATGTTTCTCTTTGTAATGTATCAAAAAGTGGCCATTAAGTTACTCCTCCTTTTACACTTTGTCAACAGATTGTCTGGTAGATGACAATTTTGAATAACATCAAGTGTTTAACCATTTAACTCCCATGAGTGACCAAGACAGAATTTCTCCTTACAATATCAAGCAGACAAGTGATGAGAGTGAAGAAAAATATCAATTAGAGGATTATAACTTGATCTAATACCATATTCTAAAACTAACATAACAAGAACTGTATGGCAGGCAGTGAAGAGAATCACTAATGAGATCTTGGGTGTTAAAGGGTTAAGTTAGGGCCAGACATGAACACTTAATTTACAGCAAATAAATAGCAGACCTTGACAATAAGCAACCAGTTATCATTTTATCATTAAGGGAGGGGGGTTGGTGGTTATTTTGGGGGATCACATGGTTTTCAGGTGAATGGTTAGGGGTTTTGTCAGTCACAAACAGACTATAAAAAGGCATTGTAGAAAATAGAGTGTTTTTTTTCCCATTCACCCCTATTCCTCTCTAAACCATTTAACTCCCATGAGTGACCGAGACCAGAATTTCTCCTTACAATGTCAATACAATTTCAACCAGACAAGTGATGAGAATAAAGAAAAATATCAATTTGGGGATAATTAGTTGATCCAATACTCAATTGTCTGAACTAACGTTATAACAGTTATATGGTTGACGGTAGGGTGAATTACAAATTTGGTGTAGAAGTTAAAGGGTTAAGAACCTTGCCACACAGGCTACATTTACCTGATTGGGGTTAATCAATCAAATTCAGTTGGTAGAGTGTAGGAAAAAATGCATGTAACCTGATATTCCATTTGATTAAGCTTAGTTGTCATGCAGCTATACAAAGTACTTGTTGTTCTGCTCCCATTGACACCTGAACTGCCTGTAACCCTCTGTGCCCTGGGGTGGACTTGTGTGAGAGATGCTTCCCCCCCCTACCTACCCCACTAAGCATGGTTTTGTCCCTAAAGTTCCTCTGTTGTTATAAGATCTATAACCCAATCAGGATCTGTCTTTTGTGCAGATATTTTGATGACTCTAGGGGGTACTAGAAAGGCATCATTTTATGTGTTCACAAGAAATGATCAAATGTGAAATCAAAGGAAACTGTGAATAAATCAGGTACATTACGTTTGAATGAGTTTTGAAGCTAAGTAAGATCCTGTATGTAAAATTTGTATGAATGTGCTTCAGGTTGTGAATAAGTAACTTGCTCCATTCTTGTTTAACAAGAGCATTAGCCCATGTACCCTGGTGTGACATGTTGGCTAAATACCTTGATCAAGAATGGTCTGTACTACTTCTGATGAATCTTTAATGGGGTACAACTCTAAAGGAGCAATTACCTGCACCACCAACATCTGATATTCTCAGGCCATGCTAAACTAATCCAGATTGTAAAATTAATTAAGATTGTTTGGATTATTTTCCAGAGTGACAGGTCCCGGGTTTAACTCCATATCACCTGAAGTAAGCAACTTTGCCCTAGAACAAAATACTTGTGATTTCGTTTCTTACACTTTATTGAATAACGTTGAACAACATGTACAAATTTATCACGAAAAAAAATGATACTTCACGTCTTTTTATGCTTTGCAGTTCTTGTTTTAAAAACACAAACATAATCAAGAGTAAAATACAACCTTAAACCTTTTGCACGAGTGATTCCAACTGGTTTCCTTCTACCCATTCTGGTTTTAATGATAATTACGGTAATCAAACGATAAAATCGTTTCCAATGGTGGCGAATGTGGTGCACTTTGCACAATACGAGACCTTACATACCTCTTAATTGCTTTACTCTTGTTAAATAAGTTCAGAATTTTCTTCCACGGTAATCTCGATGGTTCACTATCACGACAGGCCTTTGCTAACATGATTGGACTTTGACCTAGTTCTTCGTTCCTGTATGATTTCGGTTACCATCAGATCAGTCTTCTGACTGCGTTTCGTTCTGCTTCGCCACAAGAGTGTTTTGGTTGGATGTTATGGACTGATCAGCTGTGCTACTTATGTCCCTAATAGCTTTGTTTAACCCTATGTTTGATTTATGCCTTAGCTGATACGAGTGCTCATAGGTTCCCTCGTGAGTTCCATCAAAGTCTCGCTCGTAAGATTCACTCGTAAAAGGTTTACCATTTATAAACCCAATGTGAGCTTGGAGGATCAACAAGCGGACGTCTCGAGGGGTCAAGGACTCTTCGCATTCAGCATCTACACAGCTTATTACCGTGTGCTTACTGCGACGAGTATTAGTCGAAACTTTCTCGAAGGAAAGTCGAATTCTATTCCAATGTCGCGGCAGTTACTTCGGAAAGTCGACAGTCGCTTCCCAGTATTATCTCGGAAAGTCGATAGCGATTGGTCTGCCGTTTACATATCGACTTGTTTACATCTGAGTCGAGTGACAAATTTGCATATTCTGACCCCTAACAACAGTGCTTTCTACGCTTCGCGTATCCACGACTAAAAATAAAGTGGGTCAATGATCCAAATTATGCATCTCTTTGTTTTGTTGTTAATTAAAGGAAAATCTGTCTTTCTTGGGAGATTTATCATCTGCACTCTCACAAGCGGCTGTCGTCACCGAAGCGTTGCATTGAATTTGTTGATAGGTTCGTGACGGAAGTACAGAAATATGATAGGTGATTTGGGTTGATTGATTGTGAGATCGGAGTTACTCGTGAGTAGGAGAGTGAAAATGGCGTACATCAAACCAGTGTTATTGTTTGTCACGAGATCATTTACGACATGGCCATTAACTCTCCTCTCCTTTAACATTTCATCAACAGATTGTCTGGTAGATGACAATTTTGAATAACTTCAAGTGTTAAAGCAAGGGCCAGATACGAAAGCTAAAATCACAGGAAATGAATGGCAGACCGTGACAAAAGCGACCACTTATCATTTTATTGCCTGCGGAAGGGGGGGCTTGGAGGATTTTTGGGGATCACATGGTTTTCAGGTGAACGGTGAGGGGCTCTGCCAGTCACGAACAGACCATAAAGATGCACTGTAGAAAATCGTGTGTTTTTTTAATTGCTTTTTTCCCATTCATCCGTATTCCCTTCTTTAAAACCTCGTCATGCAGGCTACATTTACCTGATAGGGGTCAATCATTCAAATTGAATTGGTAGAATGTAAGAAAAATGTATGAACCTGATATTCCATTTGAATAAGCTTGATTGTCGTGCAGCTGTAAAAGGGACTTGTTCTACTTAATGCTTTTATGCTTCAAATTCTGTTGTATAAACCAAGGGCAATCATGAAGTGCAATACCTCTTGTTGATCACAGGAATACGACTATCAAATCCTACCACCTACTCAAGATTTCTAGTCACCGTAGTTTGTATTTCATCGATATTTTTTGGTGAGGAGGAAAGACAACAACGATTAAAAAAGTATTCATTTTCGAACGAAAATACAACAGTTGGCGAGTCTCGTACTATTCCCCTTCAGGAGATGACTAGGTACACTTCGTTGGCGAAATTCAAGAACACATTTTTTCAAGGATGAAAACATACCTCCGAGGACTTCTTTATTTCAACAGTTACAAACATTAAATGAGACATCGATTTAATAAAAAAGTTTTCAATCTAATCCAATGCAGCAACTTCCGAGATTACCTCAGTTGTATGGCAAAGTCAACTTGTCAATCATTTCACCTTAAGGGAGATGGAAACAGTTAGTAACCTTGGCAAAGGCAATTATTTTGTACACCTTTTAGGGCTGAAATACCCATTTCTGGACCAAATCACATGAACAACAGTTATGACTATTGAAAGATAAAATGATTACTGAACGAGCAACATTGGCAAACATATTGTCCGTTCATATTTGTTAAATTCATATTTTCCTAACATGGTTCGCTTTTCATTGTGTTTTCTTGAAGTTGCCATTAGAAATGGACAAACAAATTGTTCCATATTATTAAATTCAACATGAATTTCTGAATTAAAATCCATTATACTATTATATGAAATTTGTATTTATGCGAAAAAATCATGCGGCTACCATATAACCTCAAAACGATAGCAGTGCTGTGACTCATTTCCCACGGGAAGTCCATGTTTTCTGAGGATGTCACGCAATGGAAAAATGCTGTGAGATCATATCCTTTGATATTATAAAATGATGCCATAAAATTATTTCCATCTTTTAAATCCATTTTTTATTTCCATAAAATGGAAAGTAGTATAGAGAGTTGGTGTCTGTCTAGTCTCGTCGCGCCATCTCACATACTGCTGGATTGACGCTGTCTCAGTTTGTCGCTTGCGGAAGTCTCTGATCAGGGCGCTACCCTGGCAATATGAAAGAAGCGCTTGTATATTTATGCACACAAGGACCATGTGTATCGAACAAAAGAAAGAACCGGATATGCAGTATTTTACTTCCACTACGAAGAAGCATTTCATTGCTTCAGTTTTGACTTAAACTGCTTCATGTGGTAGCGTACGATCGATGTCGTTTGAAAAAATTGAGATGAAGAAGCTGATATATGGCAAAAACTAACAGTACGAGATTACAAATAAGTATCTCTTATTTTGTTGCAAAATAGATTATTGTAAAACGAACGCAAAATCAATGGCGAGACAAACCAGACATTATCCTTGCGAAACTTCATCGCTTCAGTTTCACTGTCTCAGTGCCTGTTGCTTTTAATGAGACTACGCGATCACTGGAGAGGCTGTTGAAAACTCCGGCCAAAAGCCACCCAGTCATTTGCCTCATACAAGGCATCACCCGCCTTCAAGTCAGCTTTGCGGATGAAAATACGGGGAAGGGGGGGGCGCGCTAGGTTGTTGGACCTCTCGAGTAAATGCCATTTTTCTCTGAAGCTGGCAGGGGCTTGTCTTATTGATCTTGTTGGACAACCTGCATTCCAGGATTGGTAGTCAGGCTTGTACTCTGTCACACCTCAGCCACTGCGCTAACACTCCATGGATGGAGGGTGGCTGAGTTTCAAAAGGATGCCTTTGAGGGAGAAGGCTCTATTAACATTGCAAAAACCTGATGGCCTAGTTTTCGCTTGAAGATGGGCACGTGTCTTTTAACCACGATTAAGGTTTTTATTGAGGAGAGGGGGAGGGATGGGGTCACGCGAATATAAAAGTTGGGAGTGTAGTATCCACATCATGGCTATCATTGTCAGGGAAGCACGAATTTTCCAAAATAATCGATAGCCTTGAGATACATCGACTTCTCCGACACCAAAGAAAATTTAAACAAGAAATGTACTAAGGAAATTCTGGTAGTTGAGAGGCAGAGACAGAATGAATAAACTAATTGAAATATTGAATTGCCTCTTTGTCAACTTCATTTCGATACTTTCTCGATAATACTCGCTTTTTCTCAGTGTGTAGATTTGAATTTTAAAAATCATTGCGAATTATTCCGAAAAAAAAGAAGAAACAAGGTGATTACTAGTTTAGGAAGACCTAAGGATTAACAATATAGCTCTCAGTCTGGGTGTTTTTAAAACTTTGCCGTAGGACTTTATAATACCTCTTGCCTTCTCATTGTATAATTTTTGTCACAAATACATCGCATTTATCATGGGATGATTTATTTCCCCTTTTGGCTTTCTGAATGGTTATCTCTACTCCATACTTTGCACAATGTGTCTTCCCTGGTGAATTCCCACGGAAATGAATAATCAAATAGGATATTGTAAGTCAGGTTCGAGATTCTAGTCTAAATATAATTGTTACTCGATCGTACACAAACGTTTTCAAAGGAAACCTACATTTTATAGAAAAAAAATCTGCTTCCACAACTGACAAGGTATCAGTTAAGCACGAGAATTCAACTCTTGATCAGTATCCATGGCATCTCAATTTCAATATCTGATTGACATTTCTCATTTACACTCGACTTTGAGCTTCGCCTTGAACAGGGGTGTTAAAACGAAATGCTCAGGAAAGACCTATCCATTTTGGTTACTTCACATTTTTCCAAAGTAAGTTTTAGGTGAGAGAGATTATTTTTTTAAAAATTAATAAATTAATCTCACAATAGAGGTATTATTACACAGACGAAGCACACCAGGAGGCCTTAATTGGGTTAACTGCGAACCATGAAACGGCGAAGAAAAGGTAGCCGTAAGGCGGAACATTTGACCGATTTCAACCGTTAGTCGTATAAAAAGTTAGCCGTAAAAATTTTTACACCTAAAAGGAATAGAAGGAAATTAATTGTTAACCGAGAATTGGCCAAAGTTTAAACCGTTACCTGTGAAAGTCATCACCTTATTGAGATCTTCATATTCCAGATGTACAGTAAGGATTTTGTAAGATCTGAGATACCATTTCATGAAGATTAACTTCTTACTAACCAGCCTAATGTCCTTGTACCATTACCTCGAAGTTTTACAGCTAAATGGCTAAAAAGGGAACTTTTGTGACATGCATGAGGAACTTTAGCGACGATACTAGGGAACGTTTGTGACATTAGGGAACTTTGGCGACTTGAATAGGGCACTTTGGTGAACTTAACAGGGAACTGTTAAGGGAGACTGTTTCTTTGAGTTGCATAGACGTGGAGACAAGACAAACAATGAGCTCCGTTATCCGCTCAACAATAACTTAAATTAGATAGAATAACCTATCATAGTAACGTGAACGCAAAATCACCAGAAAATCTTAAGACACTTGATGACAGTACATCCGACACATTTTCCAGACTTCAATCAACTGTTAACAATTATAAAAACAACTCTAATGTTGAGCTGTCTTAAATGCTCTTTTAAGGCGCCTTTCGTATTTCCCGCGATTAGTTATTGTTTCTAACGAGGATTTTTGTAAGAGTTACTTTGCCCCATCTTCCTTTTGAAGAATTTCCTTGACCTTGGGCTTTGGGATTGGTACAGATGTCGTGATCATTTCTTTACACATAGCTCTCAGCCTATCAAGCTCCAAAGATAAAAATAGGTAAGGAACATCACTTGCCTCTGTTGTTTTGGTCTGTATTTCCCAAGGTCGGTTTTTATCGACGTCAAGAGATCTCTCCTCTCTTTGTTCAAGTGTCTCTTGTTCGTCAGGAAGGTTCACAGGCTCTGATTGTGTGGAGGAAGGAAAACGCCACATCCCCGAACTTTGTCTAAGATCTTCTTAGGGTCCCCGTCCTTCAGCTGCACATTTTCAGCAATTTTCTCCCTCAACGTTTTTATTGTCACGGATTTCCCCTTGATCTCCTCTTTAAACAGATCTCTTATTATCATTTCTTGGCCTTTACCAGGAACATTTTGAAGCTTCACCCTCCTCTATAATGGAAATGCTTGGGCTTTCGCCTTCCCCACGCATGACTTGGCGGAAGTGTTTCGAAGCCGGGACGGAGGATTTCGATTTTTCTCGCAGTCGATAATATTTCGTAGCAGTGGAAACATTGTGGGCCATCAAATCCGCCAAGTTTCCTCTTTCTTCTGTCGCTGTCGCTGCTGCTGTGTGCGCTTGACACCGCGAATTTTCTGAATAACGTACAGCTTGGCGCGCCCTTGACTTCGGTCTTCTTTCACATGGACTTAATGGCTTTATTGATTTGACTGGAAACCATGGACCCTCCACTGGAAGATAAAAACACTAATTTGTCTAAACCACTGTCAGAAGCAGCAAATTTCAAACGGACTTCCTGGAGAGAAACCAGTTCTGGCGGGACCATGAGTGCTCACTGTCTTGTGCTTCTTCACAAGAAGGACGAATTCGTCACTTTCCTTTGCCATTCTGCTGTATTCCCCGACTGTCGTGTTCGCGAGAGCCCCTGCCCTGTTAGCGTTTTCAATAGATATCTCAATTAGTAAGATATCTCGAATTAACGTGTTCTGAGCTTGGGTTATCTGGATGTTTTGTGCACCTCACAGTTGACCTAACAGACATACAACATCTCTTGCAGCTTTGTTTGTTTCAAACTGTCTTATTTGATCTGGAGTCATCAAGGCGTAAAAGTCTTCTTCCATCTCTTCCTAGTGTCGTTTGGCGCAAGTTTTGGCGAAATGCTGATGACCACCGGCTGACCTTGTCTCTTAAAGAGATTAACTTTTTCTTAGAAACAGTTATTCCGGTTTTTCAGTAAGGGAAAAGGAGTAAAAGTGACGTAAACTCATAAAATAATTCTGCGTTGTTTTGGAGTGGTATTCTTTCTTTGCATAGCCCTCGAGGAACTTTTGGTTCAAATTCTCTTTGTTGAAGCTCATAGGACTCACAAAAAAAGTATGATAAACAATATTGTTAAGTATGATTAAAAACAAATTTTTTTTGGTCATGGGCATATCACTAGCCTTTTGAATGTAACTTAAGCCTTTGTCATGAAAGGTTAAAACCGACCACTCATTTTGACAAGTCTCTCGTGATCGATTCAGCCAAAATCTATTTTTTCCTATACATGTAAGAACACAACTGTGTAAGTATAGTTTTTATTTTCCTCATTGATTCGAAAAGTACAAGCATTGTACCTTAATTGATAAATTCTCTTTGTTGAAGCTCATAGGACTCACAAAAAAAGAATAATAATTAACAATATTGTTAAGTGTGATTAAAAACAATGTTTTTTTTGGTCATGAGCATATCACCAGCCTATGGGATGTAACTTAAGCCTTTTTTTCAGCACAGATTAAAACCGACCACTCATTTTGACAAGTCTCTCATGATCGATTCAGCCAAAATCTATTCTTCGCTGTACATGACTGTGAGAACACAACTGTGTAAGTATAGCTTTTGTTTCCCTCATTAATTCGAAAAGTACAAGCATTGTAGCTTAATTGATAAATTCTCTTTGTTGAAGCTCATAGGACTCACAGCAGTCTCATTTTAATGTTGCTTAGAAAAGTGTTGTGCTGCAGATCACTGTGAAATTTTTGATTTGGGATTGAACGTACTTCTGTATTTAGATTTGATAAACAAACAAATGTGATCTACTCTATGGGAAAGGTTACACATCGAGGTTTATAAATTTTACGCTTATCCCACACTGATGAGAATGAAACTGTCCCAAGTATACTAAAAAAATCTAATCCCTAGTTTAGTAAACCAAAAATATTGCAATTTCCTTGTTTTAACATTTTTAGTGGTTTTAGTATTTTAATGTTTTTCATATTTTTCATATTTTATCGTTTAATCGTGTTAACATTTTTAGAGAATATTTTTTAAAGCGCTTTAGAATATCTTTATAATTTTAGTGCTTTGGAAATGTAAATTACTATTATTATATAACTACTGTCAGAAATTAAAAATAAAGCAATTGAAATACCTATAAAAGGTGAAAATATATTGAAATTTGATAATTATAATATTATAAACAATTACCAGTATATCATGTATCTCGATGCTAATAATCTGTATGGTTGGACTATGAGCCAATATTTACCTACCGGTGGTTTTAAATGGATGACGGAAGAAGAAATTGGAAAGATGTACTTAGGTAAATACACAGAAGGAAATGAAAAAGTTTAATATTGGAAGGAAATCTCGAATATCCTGAGGAGTTGCATAATATGCACTTGCCGCCGAGAAAATGAATATAACAAAAGATATGCTTTCAAGCTATTGCAAAGAAATAGGTCAAGTTAAAAAGCTGATTCCAAAATTAAAAGACAAAAAAAAGTATGTACCTCATTACAGAAACCTACACTTATGTCTTGATTTGAGATTAAAATTAAAAAAAGGTTCACCAAGTATTAAATTCAGTCTGTCAGCGTGGCTAAAACAATGTATTGATTTTAAAATTAATTGGAAAAAGACTCCTTCAAGCTTATTGAAAACAGCTTATTTGGTAAAACTATGGCAAATATTGGCATTTCCAGTATCTGTAAAACAGTACAGCAAAACTGAAAAACAGAACAAAATTAATATAAATGTCACACAAAAGAGTATTTTCCAAAATGATTACTAAAATATACGTATAGCTTGAAGCCAACTTATGTGTAATTAAAATTTTTAATGAGAATCTAGTAGCTTTAAATATGATCAAAGAATCACTCACTCTAAAAAACGCTGGCATATGTAGGAATGTGTATTCTTGATCTTTCCAAGATGTTAATGTACGATTCTCGTCATAATTATGTTAGAAAGAAGTTTGATGATGAAGCAAAATAACTATTCACAGACACAGACTCGTTGACATATGAAATTAAAACTGAAGATTTTATCAAGATTTTTGGAATGATAAAAATAAATACGACAATAGCGACTATCCTGAAAGTTCTCCATATTTTAATAAAACAAACAAAAAAGTTATAGGCAAGTTCAACGACGAGACTTCTAATATAGCAATTACTCAATTCGTCGCCTTAAGTTACAAAATGTACTCTCATAAAACAGATGATGAGAAAAGCGATAGAACATCTCAAGGAATAAAAAAAAATCGTCATAAAGAAGACTATAAAAATGTATTATTCAATAACAAACAAATGCGTCATAAAATGAAAACCACTACGAGCAACAATGATCAACTTGGAAGTTATGAACGAAATAAATTGTCACTCGACTGCTTTTATGATAAGCGATACATTCATGAAGATAGTCTAACATCTTACGCTCATGGACTACAAAATACAAAATTAAAATAGGAAAAACAATAATGTTACACCAAAGCTGTGGAACAATAAACACTTCCGCAAGCACCGTCCATTTAATGTGCCTATGGAACCACCACTTCTCTAATCTTCCAAACTCTCCAGTGATGAAGAGATTTGAATGCGTTTCTGTATCTTCGATCCGAAGACAAACTTAACTGACAAACTTTAGTGACAAACTTTACTGTCAAACTTTACTGGTAATCTTTCTTTAAAAATCAGCTTTTAATCCGTACCTCACGCTGACCCGTAATGAGTGCAATTCCCCGGTTTCCGTTTCAGACACTACGCCGACCTTTTATTTCAAACTACCTTACCTTAGCCCTTTTTCTGTTGTCACGCAGCAAAGGGTTCGCCACTTTCCTAAGCGTTACTGTAATAACAGATATTAAGTTGGGTTCTTCATCTTTTAAAATAGGTAATATGTTTGATGTGAAAGACTCTATCCCTTGTGGACTCCGTACGTGTGTAGTTCACTAGTTTTTTATGTGCGGGCTGTAACGCCTGCTCTGTCGGCGAAACCTCGCGGCATTTATCCACACGTGTACGTGAGCTCATGGTCAGTGATAGGACCTCTCAGAGTTTCAGACATTCACAAAATTCTCAGCAATGTCGCACTCTGTGTTCCGATGAGTGTTTTAGCATCTTTGATCACGCTTCCACAACTCTCCCACCTAAAATCAAAGAAGCTATTCACATTTAATGGGAGCAACCTACACTCAATCATCAACTTTATAATGTTAATTTAAAACTTTCGTTGTAATTGCATACATTGTTTTGTTTCTATTGTTTGTTTTGTTCAATGACCATTTGTTATACACTATAAATTTTTTAAATCGGAACTCAAGATGACAGATGAACTTTCGAAACATGTTTTCAAAAAAAGGCTGCCATGACGTTTATTTTTTTAATTCTATTAAAATATAATTGTAAAGACCACATGATCTCACGTGACTTTCACATGAGCTAAGAACAATAGTAGTCTGATGACGCATTTTCTCGGGAAAGCCCCTGTGGTATTACATCATCGACCTTCCTGTTTTCTGGGAATGTCACTCTTTGATATTATAAAATGATACCATCAAATGACTTCATAAAATAATTCCATCAAACGATTTCGTTAAATAATTTTCCTGAAGAGTAAGAGTTTTCGGTATGATACTACTCATTCGAACGAAAAACACTCGCGCGTGCCCAGACAGGTCACGATGATATTACACAGATGGTATATGTCGCTGATTTTTGTGACTAACAGTCAACACTACCTGACGAAAATCATTACCCTTCCGTCATAAACGTTCGACACGTTCGGGCTCATAACCATTTGTTCAAGCAGGACCGAAACTTTTAATCTCTATTATAAGTATCTTACCAAACTCTATTCTCCCGTCAAGTGAGTTAATTCAAATCAGTTGAATGAAATTCTGCAATGTTTTAACTCAAAGTTGGTCATTTTAAATACTTTGCAAAACTTTTTATATGTTTTTCTTCTTTTTCAGGGTTTCGGAAGCAGTGACGACAACGCCAGCTTCCTTTTCGTCTGTAGTTCACGTTTCACGATGATCTGAGCGAAGACTGCTTTAAATGATGAAGTTTCGATATTCAATTCAGGTATGTCAAAGTAGTCACGATTCAATAAAAATTCACGTTGAGAAACAGGAAATCATGCTCAACGTAATTTCTCTATGTAGTAATTTTTTTTCTTATTGTTTTTGTGCAGTGCAACAACTGCAGTTTGAAGTAGATTAATACAAGTAATTCAGCTTTTAAAGACCGAGGAAATCTTTGAAAATTAATTTACCAAAGCTTTCCAATATCCTAAAGTAGACAAGTATTGACAAAAAAGAATAAGTCCTCAAGGTCTCGTCTTCTCTCGTTACTTATTTTTATAATACTCTTCAGTTCGGATATATAAACATAAGGAACTGAGCTAAAGATGTCACGCCATTTGCCAAATTATGCTAGGTCCGACCTTTCCGGGACCTCTCTCTAGCTTTTTTTCGTTAATTAAAAATGAAATTTTGGAACAAGCGAGCCGACAAGAAGCAACAGAAGAAGCAAGAAAAGCTTTGAGCAGAGTGAGCAAAGACGAAAATCCTCAAAGAGAAAACGAAATGGACATTCCGAGTTTTGAAGGTTTTCACGCTCAGTTAGATTGCCAGGTTACGAAGGGTAATAAAGCTCAAACACAGCTAACGCTCGTATAGTATACATAGTTTTGTGTTCAAGAACAAAACAGAACAAAGCGGAAATGATGGAAACTATAGCCAAACTGGGATAACTGTTAAAATTCATACTAATCATGAGTTGGGTTTGCTAAACATCTGCAGAGTTTTGTTTGTTTCTTTAAGTTGATTGAGCGCCGGATCATAAATTACTTGCCTATACTCATCTACTGGTAAAATATAAACAGTAGCGCCACAATCGAGTTGAAATTTAACTTTTGTTTCTCTGAGGAGCATTGCAGCAAAGATCTTACGCTGGCACTCCCCCGCGTTAATCGCGCTGACAGACTCTACATAACGAAAATAATCACCTGAACTGTCATCGGACAATTCGTCTACACCCTGTGCTGGTTTGCTTTTTGCAGGCTTTCTGCACACGGATGATCCTGGGAGGTGCTTTAGAGCACCACAATCTTGACAGTGTTTCTGTCAGGCTTTCTTACGTGAGTCTTTAGGCAGAACTTGCATCTGATTTGAGGAGGATCCGAGTCGCGCTGTCCCGAGTCGAGGCCTTATTACGTGAGTCGTTGCTTCTCCACCAGCTGCCAGTGTTACTTCGCTGCGGGCTTCGCAACGTATTAACAGCTCTTATTTCATCACTTAGTCTTTCTTCAAATTGCTTCGATGTCGTTTCATTTGCTCGACAAATATTGATGCATTTGTGGAGAGTCAGTTTTGGCTCTGCAAGCAGTTTCTTTCGGGTTGCGTGACCCTAAGATATTGCGTAATCCTAGGACTGATAATAATGCGTAATCCTTGGACTATCGATCTCTCAAGAGATTATCTCTCAATTCTCCAAAGTTATATGTCTTCGCCAAAGAACGTGGCGAGGTCAAATAGGTATCAAATGACTGACCTTGTCGTTGTTAACATTTATTGGACACATACCGTTTGTATGTTTCGTTCGTCTCCCAGAAACAGTATTCTTCTAGCAGCTGCAGTACTACATCTAAATCTCCTTTCTCTTCTTCCATCGTAAACGTCCAATATATCAGACCCGATACACGTTAGCAACGCGGCGACGCAGAGTTGTTTGCTCTGTGTAATAAGTCTAGTAGCCGTCTCATAATTTACCCACAGGCGTTTGAACTTTTTCCAGTTGCTTGTGATACTCTCCAAAGATATTTTAACTCGAACTAGAAATAATCAGATGTGAATTCACTTCAGCCTTTGGATCAGCAATCAGGAAATAGAACATGAGAATAATTCCCCATTGCTCAGGTCAAATCTCGTATCAATCGTTACATTCTAGAATTAAATTACGGTTTTAGTAACTTCTCCTAAAACTTAGAATGATGCGCGGTTCGTCATCATTGTCCGTGTCTATATGTCCTCTTCAAGCACGCACTAAAGACGCACACAGAGAATTACGACGAGGAGAATCATTTGTGTTCTTCTACAGCGTCGAATAGACATATTATGTACTATTAGTACGCATAACCTTGGAAATGCCAGTTTAGATAAAACGTTTTTTAGTTTAAACTCTTTGGGAAACGGAACGACTTGTTTAATACTTGTCTTTCCCGAGAAAAAACATACTTTCCTTTTCCAGACTTCTTTTCTCTTTGTTCATGGTAAGATTAAGCAACCCTGATATTAACCCTGAGTTTTTTTCAGCTGAGTTTCGCTCAGGACTCGCCGAGTTCTTAAAGATTCATATGTGTTCTTACAGAGACAGTGTCTCCTACACTGATCCATAAGCTCGCCACTTCTCCAGTTCATTGAGACACATACGAGCAAAGTCTCGAAAGTCAGTTGATCGCTATCATGCGAAAGTTTCAGAGGACACAACCACTCGACCAGATATGCCTCAAAGTTCGCTTGAAGGATATCGTTAACAAGCTAATTTAAGTGAATACGTTCAGAAATACCGTCAAGACCTATTTAAGCGATACATTCGGCCCGCGGCTTTTGCTTGACAAAAAACACGTGTGTGGAGCCCGTCAACGCTTTTGTCGAGGAAATCGTCAGTAGTTCAAATTCTGATTATTGGGCTATTCCAAAGTACGAGTCAAGAAAAATTTGCCGTTATCCCCCGAGATTCGTTTTTAATTTTCCAGGATATAAAACTGACTTTATCAAAAAGTGATGTAGGTCTTAGAGGGCCATTCTTCACCAGGATACCGCGGCGCGCGAAGACTGCTTTAAATGATGAAGTTTCGATATTCAATTCAGGTATGTCAAAGTAGCCACGACTCAACAAAAATTCGTATCGAGAAAACATGAAATCAACCTTAACGTCATTTCTCTTATCAGTAGTTTTTCTCTTACTTTTTTGCGCAGTGCAACCAGTGCACTTTGAGTTAGATAAACACGAGTAATTCAGCTTTTAAAGACCGTTATTTAACTATGTGCTACACAAAATGATTGCTGGAAAATCTGGCTTTTGCAATATGAAGTGTATTTCTTCTCGATATTCAAAGGATTTTTCGGGGAAATGATTTAAGCGTGATTTAATAAAATTTTAAGTTGGATAAAATTGACCGATTCGACAGTGCCATCAATTAGCCAAAAATGTACACGTACATACGCAAACTCAACTGTTTCACATTTTACTTCCAATCTACCGCTTCTCTAGCATAATATCCTCTCACCTTCCATATTGCTGTTTTGAAGAAGAGGGCTACAGTCCTGAGATTGTTGTATCGTTCATATTAAAGCAAAATAACTTGGCAGAATAGCCAACGCCTCCTGATCATGCTCTTACAAAGTGTATCGGGGGTTCTTGATTTGAAGTTTCTCTATTCCTATTTCGTTGAAAAGGAATAGGAGATCTTTGCTTAAATATTAGTATTCAACCAAACTGCGAAACAAATGTAAACGAAATGTTGCTAGTTTCGAGCATGCGGAAATGAGCTACCGAAAGCGTAAACTCCGTAAAAATAGGAACAAGACGTTTGCACTGCGTTAAGCAACACTGTTGTCATCACTTTCACATTTAAGCGACAACTTGTGCGGCTTCTCACCTTTTCGCTGGCTTCTAAAGCACAAGCCTTTTAAAATTGTTTTCCCGCGAGCGCCTTGATCGTGTACGACGTTAACGTCATGAATATAACTTTCGGTGAAAAACTTATATCCCTTGGACCTGACGTCCTTTTTCCGCAGCCTTCCAGATGCTTTCGAATTTTTCGGTAGTAAACTTCGGAAGAAAACTCAAATTTTTCGTCGAATCTAAGCGATTTTTATCACTGGATGATACTAGCGCCATTTTGAACGCCACATTTGTTTATCCAACAGTCCTTGCGACCTGAGCGCGAAGAGGGTCTATTGGGAATATAACTTTCGGTTAAAAACTTATATCCCTTAGACCAGACGTCTCTTTTTCTGCAGCCTTCCAGGTGCTTTTCAATTTTTCCGTAGTGAACTTCGGAAGAATTTCCGGTAATAAACTTCGGAAGTAAGCTCAACTTTTACGTCCAGAATAAGTTATTTTCATTACTGAAGATACTAGCGCCATTTTGGGAAGCCATATTTAATACGCAATAGACCAAACGACCTGAGCTATTGGAAACAACGCTTCTTCGAGAGCTGAATTTAGCTCTGGTTAAAAATATGTTTTGGCCATGAATTTCACCCGCTGTAAGTTGTGCAGGAAGAGTTCCATTCGACTGGAGTGGAAAGATAGAAAACACATCATCGACAAGCATTTCCACCGTACAAATATTGATGGAATTTCCTCATTTTATCGAGATATTTCTTTACGGATGGTCTTCGAAACATTCAAAGTCAAGCTTAGGGATGGCATTCTGGAGAAAGAAGATAATCATCCATTGAGAAATATGATTTATTACTGCCCCTTTGATTTTGTTGTGGGCTCCTCTCCGACTCGACGTGGACGACATAGGACTCGTTATGTGAGAGTGGCCTGCATCCGCTCAATATGTCCTTATTGTGATCATAATGTGATCAAGGTAAAAACGATTTTTCCGGATGGACAGCGCAAACCGATCGCTCATTGAGAACGAAACTTATGGAGCGAAAATCCAAGGCTCCGGCAAAAATATATGAAGAACGATCTATTATTATAGTAGTCATGAAGTGGAAAATCAGTCAGAATGAGTACAACTAGTAACTAGTACGAGTAAAAATAGTTTCCCGAATGGATGTAATATTTGATTACAAAACGTACATGCATTGGTCTTCTTCATCTGAATTTGACGTTCCTTTTAGGATTTGTTATTCAGCAATGCGAAAGATACTCTCCATGAAGCAAATGTAGGAATCATCCACAACATAACAGTTTAGCAAAATGCTGCGAAGATCAGTTAAATCTGAGCAGTTTTTGAATGCGTTTTTCTCACACTGTTTGAAAGATACAATATGGTGTGATTATTAACTTAACTGATAGCTTCTCAAAATATATATTTCCATATCTCCTTTGTTCCAAATTAAGCTTTCCTAGCAATGTTGGAAAGTAGACATTCTGGAAATAAAGAACAAAATCATATTTTGCAAGTCCACCAGTCTTTTTACGTAAACTGATCCTATAAAGGAAGGGTTGGGGAGAAAAGTACTTTTGAAAATGAATAACTGAGAATAATCATACTAAAACTTTCGGAACAAAAAGACGGATAAATTCCTAACTGAATCAGAGTACCGTAGTATAAGTGACATGTTTCATCTCGACGTATTCCGAAGACATTTTGCAAAACTTGCACAGTCAAAAATACCTCTAAGAGAACTGACTTGTAACAGAAAATATGATTACGTCATTTCTTCAAATGAAGTATGTAAACCAATTCCAGTAACATTTTCTAAATTCGGTTGGGCAAAGATTCGTACAGAAAAACTTCCCATTCAAGATATTATGATAAAGTTATGTAAAAAAAATACATTTCTAGGCGAGTAAGGAGACTTGTTTCAACTCTCTCCCAATTGCTTCACTTCTGAAAGCCACTGCAACTGATTAGTATCCTTCTTTGAGGGATTCCTAAGTGGAAAAGAAGGGTGACGAGGCTTCCTTTGAAGTCTAAAAAATTAGGTTTCAAAGACTTGTTTTGTCTCGCTAAGCTTTAGCTAGAAAATGTTTACTGAAAGCAGACTCAGTTAATTTGCACGATGACGGCTGATCGAGAGAAAACGATTGCTGATGGGTGGTATTCCCACATAAAGTTTCAATTATTTCAAATCACTGTGGGGCTACTTCTGAATCCCGGCAGTGTATTACCATCTTCGATTCCCAAAGGCTGAAAACTGAAGCAAATTCCATCACAATACTGTAAAGCAACGTGACAATCTAAAAGTCTAATTTTCTTCTACATTTCATTATTTTTTAAAATTGTGGATAATATGTAATCATTGTTATCATGTCCGAGTCTTTACTTGTACGTGTGGTTTACCGGGCTTGTAAGAGACCACTTGGAGTGTTGTCTTTATGGGAAGTAGTTGAATGCTCTATTTTTGATGTAGTTTGATTTTTTGCAGTATCCTACAAAAGAATTAAGCGGGAAGATGTTGCATAGAGGAATCAAATCTCATGGTGAGATTTTCCCTTGCCAGTGTATGGGGCCATGAGATTAGCAAGGAGTAAGGGAGTCTTGTTTCATTTTTTAAGAATCAGGTAGTACTTAGCGTTTTAATTTTTCTTTCATATGCAAAAATATATATAAATCTAGTATATAAATCTAATATGATTAGATTTGCACAAACAAACTCGATATGTTGCAAGATTGACAGTCAAGTTCATGCGTTGATAGGGCTCAGTTAGTGGTTGGGGTTAGAGGCATACCCCGCCATCAAGCCAGACTTGCCGATAAAAATGCGGAGCGCTTAACGTTAAGGGTAGTGCCCTGCATGCAGCCCAGCCACTAACCTATCCAAGGATGGGTTGTAAATGGCTCTGTGTGGAAAGCTCTAGGGGGTGGGGAGGGTATGCTATAGGACCCCTTGTCTAACTGACAGTTTTCTTTGAGGCTGGATTGGGCTTGTGGTTGAGTGTCAAAAGCATGCCTTTGAGGGAGAGGGTGCTTTATTGACATTGCAAAAACCTGATGTCCAGGTTTTCACCTTAAGGCGGGCATCGCCATAGTGACTCTGCCTACGCTTTAAATGAAAAGTCTTTTCGTTACTGCATTACTCATTTAGCTAACTGAATAGAAAATTCGTGAAAGATTTGACAGATTACACTGACTGACGTGTCGTCGGTGTCGATGATTATTTGACGTTTGCCAGTAAACGCGGATAATTCTATTACTGTAAACAGAATAATTACTATTGGTCAGTTAGTTGCAGCAAATCGATAAAAACAGCTTGTTAAGATTGGTCTGATGAAGGTAGAAATTCTCTCAACGAAGCATAAGGATGGAGTATGCATTCAAGTAAGGAGTAATTGTAGGGAATGTCACAGGCGTTTCAAGGGTTGATAGGATGGGGTTTGCAATATTCCTAAATTATTGTCGAGACTCACTGAAATCAGGGGGTACTCAAGACAGTTAAACGGCAGCTATGAAATTTTGTGCAGTCATCTTTTTGCTCGCCATTGGTGCTGATGCTAATAAGAGAAAGAAAGTTTGCAAACAAATAATAGGCAAGTTGTCAGATCTTGAGGACTTGTCAAAAAAGAAACAGGAGTGCTGTACAGTGGGTAAGGTTTAGAAGATTGTTTCTATCGTTTACATTAAATTTTCATCATGGCTTTTAGGTTGTCCGAAGGTTTGGAATTTCGGTTGGATAAAAATTGATCCCTAAAATAATAGTTTGGGATATCTGCATTTATCTACTTTTTATCACAACTCAATTTCTCTTCTGAAATACAACAATCTTTTCCAGAACACAACGAAATTTTCTGTTACACAAAAGCAAGCTGAAACAAACCAAAATTACGTGAAACACAATAAAATTACTAAAGTACTTACTAAGCCTGTCGCTCAAAGCGACCGGAGCCTGGGACTAGCTCTGGTTACATACTGTTAATTAAGGCGCCATATTTGTACCGTTCATGTTGAGGAATTGAGATAAATTGGCTTCTTCTAGGTCAGTAAGCGATCATCCAGAAGAAGAAAGCATAATTTTATACTAGTTTTCAAAAGGATATACGTATTAAGGTATCACTGAATTTTTAGCCAAGTGTCAAGGCATCACGACGTGTGTACGAACATTGAAAAATACAGTTTGTAGGTTAAAGCATTTTAACTTTAAGGAGAAGATTGCAATATTTTGACATGGACGTTGGCCAGGAACAAATCGTGAATGAGCTTAGTGGCCCAGGATTTCCAATACGTGGTTGTATTGATGGATGGAGTTGAAAATAATGTGGCTAACAGTCGCAAGGTTGAACAACCATCAAGAAATTATTTTCAATTTTTATTTGAATTGTGTTGCAGGGTTAGAAGGCTGTCCAGTGAAACTGGGGACTGGCTGTGGAACAGAAAATGGTGTAATGGCAGCTATGCAATGCACATTTCAACAAGATGCAGAAGCACACAAGTATGGGTCATCTCTGGTGAACCAAAGGATTGAGGGCTGGTGGGTATTTTGCAGAAGAAACGGTTGTTTTAAAGCAAGTAGGAAGCCACTAGAGCATGAAAGAAGTGCTCGAGTGCTTAAGCTGCCTCTCAAGGTCTTTTGCAACAGAGCAGAACACTGTCAAGGCTTCTCTATTTGTTTTATAATAAAGAATCCATTTACCCTTTAACTTTGCTGAGTGACCAAGACAGCATTTCTCCTTACAAGGTCAGCACAATATCAACCAGACTAGTGATGAGAATAAAAAATAACTATCAAGCTGGGGATAATTAGTTGATCCAGTAATAAATTCTCTGAACTAACATTATAAGAATTGTATGGTTGACTATAAGAAGAAATACAAATTTGGTCTGGGAGTTAAAGGGTTAAATTCCCCATTCATTACTTTCAATTTTGAAAACATACTTTACGTGATAAAATGATTATGACTGGTCCTTAAAGTTTTTTTTTTGATACTAAATTTGTCTTCCCTCTAATTTTGCCTACTCCTGTTTGTTTCATGTGCCTCTTAAGTCAGTTTTTGTTTTTTTTTGGAGGAGATCACAATAAGCCATCCTAGATATAATGCGGTTGGTGAAAAATGCTTTCCTAGTGTTAATACAGTGAAGATATTTTGACACTTTATATTGACACGCTATACGGCACTTTTTATAAACAAGGATGTCCTCTGAGATCTTCTGAAGTTCATGGTTTAGCCTTTTGTGACTTTATGACAAGAGTAACCCTTAAATGTAGTGCACATTTTGATTGAGTATTCAAAGTAATCACAAAAGACAATCACAATGACTAAATAATAACTCTAAATGAAAACACAAACAAAGCCTACTTTTCAAAGAGCAGGAAGGCTTGAGTGATTAACCTTCTACACCCTAACTTCATAATTTACATTCTCCATACTGTTCTCCATAATTATACAAAAATAATTTGTTTGACAATTGAGAGCTTCTTCAGTTTGTTATTATTTCCTTTACCCTCGTGATCTTCCTGTTTGATTCAGGGTTGATAGTGTAGGGAGAAATTAGATGCTGGTCAGCTCTAAGTGCTCAGCCTTTTGTGACATCGAGATGAGAGTGACTCCTAAATGTAGCACGCATTTCAATTGAGTATTTAAAGTTATCACAATTGAGGACAATCATGATGACTAAGTAATAACTCTAAATAAAAACAAACAGAAAGCCCACTTTTCAAAGAGCAGGAAGGCTTGAGTGATTAACCTTCAACACCCAAACATCATAATGTACATTCTCCATACTGTTTCTATATATACAAGAATGATTTGTTTGGCAATTGAGAGCTTCTTCAGTTGGTGATCATTTCCTTTACCCTTGTGACCTTCCTGTTTGATTCATGGTTGATAGTGTAGGGAGAAATAAGATGCTGGTCAGCTCTAAGTGGTTAAAGGGTTGTCACCATTGGGTTAATGAAGTATAGAGTCTGACCAGGTGAGAAATTGGCAAGTTTGCTGAACCACCGATAGAGCAAAGTGAAGTGATACCAACGCAGTGGATACTAAGTTGAAAATTTCCTTATCTCACAGGACACCTTCAGTCACAATTCAAACATGTGGTCTTCCAGGTCTTCAGTCTCTCCTGAAAATGGAGTCACAAGACTGGATCACATAGAGATCCTGTGCTAACCTACTGGAGCACATTCCTTACCAAAATCTGCCTCACCATGAAGGTTGATAGACAAGGAAACTGTGAATAAGTTGTGGACACTTGAACATTTAAATGGGTTTTGAATATAATTAAATTTCTCTTTTAAAAAAAAAATAGGCTTTTACATGTTAACATAGGTAGCCAATGGGTAACTCTGGGATAGAGTTGATTGCTGGGGTGATGTTGGGTGAATAGTCCGAATTCACATTTTGGCTATCATTTGACCAGCACCATTCCTTTAACTTCACTTTTGCCATAAAAGTGTACACTTTTTATGGCAGATTTTTAACGTAACATTTGTATGAATATGCTGCAGGTTGTGAATAAGTTACCCACTCCATTCCTCCTTGTTCTTTTTGAATAAGATTCTATTTGATAGCAGTTGAATCCCCAAAAAATTACAAATGAATAAGTGGCTGGTTGGCTATCAGTTTACAGGGTCCTTTTGAATGAGATCTGACTTTTGTTGCTATGTCTTATACTCAATTTCATATTCAATGCAGTCTTTCTTTTCTACAAGCCTGCTTAATGTTTTCAAGAGATGTGACCTTCTTGTTTCAGCTGTTGACAATAAGCAAAACTATGTAGGATTATCCAGCTGATGTAACATAGCAAACAAGTCTTTCTTGCAATTTTCAAAGTAAGATAATCCTCCAAGATTTCTTGATACTCTAAACCCTTCATCTTGATGAATTAATTTAATTACATAATCATCTGAGTTTAGGTCACCTGCAATATATTTGTTGCCTTTTGTTTCTTATGCAGGCACAATTTGAATTTGTTTAATTTGTAACTTTTTTTTAATTTATAAAAGATGTTTGGTTATGCTACTTATATATTGTACTGTAATGGACAGGTGTCATTCTGTCCTTATTATCAGCTCGAGTTTTACCACAATAAATAGTTGGAAATGATAGGAATTCAGAGTCTTTGACCATTTATATACCTAAAGGTCTGTTTCCTTCTCCTGATGCAAAAGTTATTATCTTGTTAACATTTTCAGTCACATCTGGTTCTTGTTATTGAGTATCTGTAGCAGTAATAGCTAGGTACACCATACAACTGATGGAACACAACTCTAGATAAACAATCACCAGCACCACCAACATCAAATATTCTCAAGCCATGTTGAACTAATCAAGATTGTAAAATTAATCAAGATGGTTTGGCTTATTTCCCAGAGTGACAGGTCCCGGGTTTAATTCGATTTCTCCTGAAGTAAGTAACTTTGCCCTTGAAATAAAATACTTGTGATTTCGTTTCTTACATTTTATTGAACAACATTGAACAACATGTACAAATTCATCGTGAAAAACAGCTGATATTTCACGTCTTTTTATGCTTTGCAGTTCTTGTTTGAAAACATAAACGCGATCAAAAGCAAAATACGACCTTGAACGTTATGCACGAGTTATTTCAACTGGTTAAGTTCTATACAATTTGGTTTTAAGATAATTACGGTAGTCAAACGATAAAATCGTTTTCGATGCGAATGTGGTAACCTTAGCACAATACGAGACCTTACATACCTCCTAATTGTTTTACTCTTGTTAAATAAGTTTAGAATGTTCTTCCACAGTAATCTCGATGTTCCACTATCACGACAGACCTTTGCTAATACAATTGGACTTTGACCTACTTCTTCGTTCCTGTATGATTTCTGTTACCATCAGATCAGTCTTCTGACTGCGTTTCATTCTGCTTGGCCACAAGAATGTTTTGGTTGGATATTATGGACTGATCAGTTGTGCTATTCATGTTGCCTATGTCTTTGTTTAACCTAATGTTTGATTCGTACTTTTGCTAATATGTGTGCTCATAGGTTCCCTCGTGAGTACGATACAAGTTTCGCACATAAGATTCATTCGTAAAAGGTTCACTATTTATAAACCCCCTGTGAGCTTGGAGGATCGAAGAGTAAACGTCTCGAGGGGTCAAAGCCTCTTGGCATCCAGCGTCTCCACAGCTTACCACCACATGCTTACTGAGACGGGTATTAGTCGAAACTTCTCGAAGAAAAGACAAATTCTAATTCAACGTCGCGGCACTTACTTCGGAAAGTCGACAGACGCGTCCCGGTATTATTCCGGAAAGTCGATATCAATTGCTCTGCCGTTGACACATCGACTTGTTTACATCTGAGTGAGTGACAAATTTGCATATTCTAACCCTATCAATAATCCTTTCTACGCTTCGCGTATCCACGACCAAAATTAAAGTGTGTCGATGAATGAAAATTACACATCTCTGTGTTTTGTAATTATTCAAAGGAAAATCTGTCTTTCTTGGGAGATTTATCACTTGTACTCTCACAAATGGCGGTCGTTACCGAAGCGTTACATAGAATTTGTTGGTAGGTTCGTGACGGAAGTACTAGAATGTGATAGGTAATTTGGGTTGATTGATTGTGACACTGGAGTTACTAGTGGGTAGAAGAATAAAAATAGAGTACATAAAATATGGTGTGTTTGTTTGGCGCGATATCATTTACGACACAATTTAAGAACAAATTTTGTGAAGGATGGAAACATACTGCTAAGGGCTTCTCTATTTCAACAGTTACAAACATTTCTTAAGACTCATTTTAATAAAAAGTTCTCTATCTAATCCAGTGCAGTAGCTCCTGAGATGATCTCATTCAATTCCCCTGTAATCACAGCTTGGCGAGTTCGATTGTATGTCAAAGTCAACTTGTTAATCATTTCACCTTTAAGAGAGATGGACACAGTCCGTAAACTTTGATGAGGGTGAAATTCTTTTGTACATCTTTTGGGGCTGAAATACTCATTCTTTGACCAAATCACGTAAACAAAAGTTATGACTATGGAAAGATAGAATGATCACTGAATGAGCACGGTATTGCAAACGCTTCAAGAAATGTGGGAAATTTTCACAAAAAAAACGTCGCTCACGTGCAATTTTGCCATCCAGTATCTTAGATGGCTAGCGATTCCATATAACTTGGGAAAAGCCACATTTGATTGATAACACGCTATTCAGCACTTCAGAGCAATTTGCAACGGAGAATCGAAAGCAATCCAGCTTGGACATGGTTTGATGCTACTCTAAGTTACAATTCATAGACCCAACGTTTCGACACACCTGTCTAGTGCCTTCATCAGGGGTGATCTAAAGTTTTGGCTACATAATTTTTATGGCAAATAAGGTGGTGAGAATCGAAAGCGAGGTATTTGTCGGTGTGGGTGGGTTTACGGTAGACACTTGTCTCTAAATTACCCTGAGCCCCTCTGGACACATTTAAATCAAGAAAGGGCAAATGTCTATCCTTTTCACGCTCAAGGGTAAATTGGATCGACGGCTCTAGTGAATTCAAATGCGATAGGAGGCGCTTCGCTTCATTTCCGCATACCGCAGAAATAACATCATCGACATATCGTTTCCAGAAAAAGGGTTTAACCGGTGAAGTGGCTAAGGCCCTTTGTTCCACGTCTTCCATTACCATGTTGGCAATGACAGCAGAGGCGGGCGAACCCATAGCTGTACCAAAAACTTGACTTGCTGATAGTAGGTGCCGTTATATGCAAATTTCGTGGTTTTGAGGCAAATAGACAGCAGATGAATAATATCCTCCACAGGCAAAGAAGTTCTTTGTCCTAGGGAAGCATCTTCTCTGAGTCTCTCCTCCGCAACCTTAACGGCAAGATCAACTGGGATTTTTTAGTGAAGAACGAAACAACGTCGAAAGATACTAATTCTTAACAAGCGTTAAGAGTCTTGTCTCTTATGAAATCCGCAAATTCGCAGGAATTTTTAACAGTGTAATCAGTGTAATCAGTGTAATCAGTGTAAACTTTGCAAAACTTTGCAAAACTTTTCTCAGAAGGGCTGACTGTCTACCATCTTCACTCGATTCGAAGGTCGAGGAGAGGAAATATGTTTCTAATGTCCTAAAGGCAAATGGCTGTACGAAAACCTTTCTCAGTAACTGCCAAAAACCAGTTACAACTCGTAACTCTCTCGATGAAAGGGAACCAGCAACTGGTTTTGCTGTTATTCCTTACATTCAGGGTGTTACGGAACCCATCCAGAGAATTTTGAATAGCCACAGCGTTAAAGTTGCTCAAAAACCTTTTCAGACTTTGGGGCATATTTTCGCCAAACCTAAGGATCCTGTCACGAAAGAACAACGAACCGACACCATTTATTCTATTCCTTGCAATGACTGTGACAACGAATACATCGGACAGACCAAACGTCAGTTTGGTACACGTTTGAAAGAGCATCAAAAAGCGGTTTTCTTTTGTGAAAAGGAAAATTCAGGTTTATCGGAGCACACATTCCTAACCAACCATACAATTGGATGGGATAATTCCAAAATTATCACTACTAATCGGCGCTACCACCAGCGCCTTTGTTTGGGGGTTTGGCATATTAACTCCACTCACGCTCCTTTAAAACGTGACCATGGCGGCTTGTATGGGCGGCCGTCACCACCAAAAATACAAGGATGTCATATAGATCAGAAAATACAAAGCTGGTTAAGGATCAGCTGCAGGATAGAATAGCTAATAAAGGAATGGCATGGCCAAATTATAGACGGTTCATTTTCTTTCATGAAACAGAACACCCTAAACATGAATAGTCTAGCCAAATGATAAACGGTCTAGTTGCCCATGTCGAGTTGAACATGAAATTGTGAATGTCAGTTTGTACCTGCATCCCAGGATTGGTAATAAGGCTTGTACCCAGTCACACTCACCCACCCTCCAGAGTTTCAAAAGTATGCCTTTGGGGGAGAGGGCTCTATTGACATTGCAAAAAGTCGATGGCTAGGTTTTCGCTTGAAGGCAGGCACGTGTCTTTTGACTATGATTAGAGTTTCTATTAAGGAGAGGGGGAGGAATGGGGTCACGGAAAAATAGGAGTTGGGAGCGCAGTATTCACATCATGGCTACCATTGTTAGGGAACCGCGAATTTTCCAAAATAATCGATAGCCTTGAGATACATCTACTTTTCCGACTTCAAAAAAAAAGGAAACAAGAAATGGATTGAGGAAATTCTGGTAGTTCAGAGGCAGAGACAGAATGCATAAACAAATTGAAATATTTAATCGCCTCTTTTTCAACTTCATTTCGAGACTTTCTCGACGATATTCGTTTAGTCTCAGTGAGTAGATTAGAGTTTCAGAAATCATTGCGAATTATCCCAAAACGAAATAAGAAACAAGGTGATTACTAGTTTAGTAAGACCTCGGGATTAACAGGGCGGCTCTCACTCTGGGTGTTCCTAAAACTTCGTTGCAAGACTTTATAATACTTATCGTCTTCTCATTTTTTTTTTGCCACAAAAAAAAAAAGCATTTCTCACAGATGCCATATTTTCCTTTTTGACTGTCTGATTTGTTATCTCTACTGCATACTTTCCACAAAGTGTTTTCGCTGGCAACTTCCCATGCAAATGAGGCGGATATTTCAAGTCAGTTGTGAGATCCTAGTCTAAATATTATTGTAACTTGATCAAATATCGACCCTTTTCAGAGCATATATTGAACATTTATTTGCTTCCTAAACTGACAATAGATCTTTTCAATCTTCTAACCTAAAATAACAACCACATGCAGCAACAGTATCATAAACACTACGTAGCCATGCACGCAAAGTCAACTCTTACTCAGTATTAAAGGAAGTAAGTTCCTAAAGAAACTGTGGCGCTGCGTCGGTGGGAGAGTATAGCAGGTAATTTAGCGTTAACAATTGAGTTGAAAATGTAAATTGGCCACCGTAAAGGGTAAAAAAAAGCTGATGTTTCGAGTGTAGCCCTTCGTCATCGCTTACATGGCTTA